ACAGGATAATAAAAATCCAAATTAGATGGTCATACTAGTAGAGTCTTATCAGTCTGTTTCTCTCGTGAAGGAAATACATTAGCTTCTGGTAGTAGTGATAAGTCTATACGTCTATGGGATGTTAAAACTGGATAATAAAAAGCCTAAATAGATGGTCATACTAGTGGAGTCTTATCAGTCTGTTTCTCACCTGATAATACATTAGCATCTGGTAGTGAAGATAAGTATATCTGTCTATGGGATGTTAAAACTCGATAATAAAAAGCCAAATTGTGTGGTCATTAATAACCTGTTACATCGGTCTGTTTCTCACCTGATGGAAATACATTAGCATCTGGTAGTGAAGATAATTCTATCTGTTTATGGGATGTTAAAAAAGGATTATAAAACGCCAAATTAGATGGTGATATTCATAATGTTTTCTAAGTCTGTTTCTCTCCTGATGGACATACTTTAGCTTCTTGTGGTATAGATAGATCGATCCATCTATGGGAAGTAAAAACAGTATAATAAAAAGCCTAATTGGGTGGTCATGATGAACCTGTTACATCAGTGTGTTTCTCTCCTGATGGAAATACATTATCTTCTGGTAGTAGTGATAAGTCTATCCGTCTATGGGATGTAAAAACAGGATAATAAAAAGCCTAATTTGATGGTCATAGCGATAGAATTTGGTCAGTCTGTTTCTCTCCTGATGGAAACACATTAGTTTCTGGTAGTGATGATTAGTCTATCCGTCTATGGGATGTCAAAACAGGATAATAAATATCCAAATTAGATGGTCATAGTAAGTACGTCTACTCAGTCTGTTTCTCTCCTGATGGAAATACATTAGCTTCTTGTAGTAAGGATTATTCTATCCGTCTATGGGATGTCAAAACAGGATAATAAAAATCCAAATTAGATGGTCATAGTAAGTACGTCAACTCAGTCTGTATCTCTCCTGATGGAAACACATTAGCTTCTGGTAGTGATGATTAGTCTATCCGTCTATGGGATGTCAAAACAGGATAATAACAATCCAGATTAGATGGTCATGCTAACACCGTCTACTCAGTCTGTTTCTCTCCTGATGGAAATACATTAGCTTCTTGTAGTAAGGATAAGTCTATCCTTTTATGGGATGTAAAAACAGAATAATAAAAAGCAAAATTGGATGGCCATATTGACACTGTCTACTCTGTCTGTTTCTCTCCTGATGGAAATACTTTAGCTTCAGGTAGTTGGGATAAATCTATCCGTCTATGGAATGTAAAAACAAGATAATAAAAAGCCAAATTAGATGGTCATGATGCACCTGTTACATCAGTCTGTTTCTCTCTTGATGGAAATACTTTAGCTTCTGGTAGTTGGGATAAATCTATCCGTCTATGGGAATTAAAGATAAGATAAGAAATTAAATCATTAGATAAACATAACAAAGATGTTTTAATATAATGGAAGATTTCACTCCAAAACAATAGTCCTCTTTCAGAAGATAGTATTTATCTTTTTCATATTTTTAGTCTCCATATACACTACTAAACTCCTTATATCTTAAAAGGCAATATTTTAAGCATAAGGAGCACTTATTCTGAAAGGAGAGTTCATAAATAAATCAGGGATAGATTTAAAAAAATTATTGAAACAAAAAGGAAGTTGCTTTTTGGAAAGCTTATAGTAAAATTGAATTAATAAAAAAACCTTACAAATAAAGTTACAATAAATTTCTTATATTTTTTAACTAAGTCTTTATCAGTTCCGCTCTCATCTTTACTACTTAAGATAGATAAGTAAAAGTTTTTACAAGGATTTTCCATTTATTTAAATTAGTGTAGGGAATATTTAATGATGTGCCTGTAAAGCTGTTATTAATTAATATCTATAGAGATTAAAAGCTAAATGATACTAAAATTAAAGAAATAATTGACATATATTTTAAAAGACAACACTTAGCACAACAAGGACTCTAAAAAAGGTGCGTAATAATTATTCAAGGAAAATTAATAGTAAATTAACACAAGTCATTCTTTTAAATCATCTAGGATTATATGATAGGTTTGCTTAATTTAGTACTATTTATAAAAGGGATTGGTATTAAAAGTTATAATTAATAGTTTAAAAGTTATTTTTTGTTCATAAATGTAAAGATATATTTAATAACAAAAATTATTAAAAGATATGCCAATAATTAAAAAAAAATAAAGTTTATCCATGAATTAACTTAAACTATAAAAAAGTTAAAACTATTAAATTTAATAATACCTTTTATTATTTATATTTAGATATAAAAGTATATATAAAATATTGTAAAGATTAATTAATGATCAATAAGTATTATATGCCAAAAAGGATTAAGACTTAAGGATATATTTATATCTACCCTAAATTATAATTAGAAGAAATAACATTTCCACTTATCTTATTACTGATGATTATTGACTTAATGCTACATTCAAAGAAACTTTCAACAACACTTTGAATATCTTTAAATATTAAACATTCATAAATTTCTGACATAATGTATAATCACTGTTACCTTCAAGATGATTTTAATCAGTAATTTATATCAAGATAAAATATCCCACATCACTTCTTAGCATTTGTAAACTGAATTCTATGATGAACTCATCAACCAGTCAAATTTACATTAAGATGAATATTAATCAATTATCAAAGATTATTAAATAATTTAAACCAAATCTATTGACCAAATTGATAAAAAAGAAAAAAGGAATCAATGATGGTATTGTTCCACATTTGAATACTTCATAATTGATAGTGTTAAAATAATTTAGTATTCTTTACAAATGAATCAATCCCATTCAATCTTAGATTAATTGAATGAGAAATTTATTGACAAACTGAATAAAAAATAGGAAATTAGTGAATCCTATCAATATGTCCATGTATGTATGTGTATATTTCTTAATGAAAAAATATCATTCTTTGATTATTTAAAAATTTTAATTTTTCATTGACTTTAATAATTACTTTTTATAAATATTTGTAAGTAGCAATTATTATTTTGCATTATTAACTATTTGAAAGATTATTATTTATTTATTATAAACTCGTTAAAGAGTTAATTTTGCGATCAAGGATATCTATCATCATTTGACTATTTCATAACCTTGAAAATTTTATGAAAACCTTAAATGTATTGTCAACTCAATTAAATTGTTAATTCAAATTGGAAAATTAGTAAAGCTAGATTATGTAATGATTTTCTTGTTGGAATTTTAATTTAATGTGCTATGCCAATGTGTCCAGCTCCTATGAACATTTGTAAATCTATATTTTATACGGATATTGTTAACATAAATCAACCTAAATTATCAAGTGTTTAAAATTTGACATTTTCAATTTTTGAAAACTTTTTGTTTCACAATAAATGTCAAGCAAAGTTATGATTATTTTTGATTTCTTTCTCTTCCATCATATACATATATATTAGACCCAGATGTCAAATCAGAACATAATCATGCAGAAAAAAGTTTATTTCCTAGTTGTATCAAAGGAAAGATTTTTTTCAACCATCAAGACGCTAATTTGTTGTTATAAATGATCATTACTATTCTTGAAAGCCGTCATCATTGTTCATAACTTAGTCAATTGATTATAAAATCTGAAATGCACATCTTGATATCATAAGCATTTTTTTTCAGGCTCACGATATGTATATGCCTTGCAAAGTTCTGATAATTATTTAAATAAGGTAATCTACCTACTATATTTGAAAAAGTAAAAATAATAAATTACATTGTATTTCAAAATAATTTATCATTTAGAATTGATTTCACTAAGTAGGCAAAGCGGAATCAAAAAAGCAAAATTTATATTCCAGTCAACTGATCATATTCAAAATCTTATAAGAAGATCCTCTTTTATACAAACACTGTCTGATAACCACATCAAAAATGATTTATGATTAAGAAATTGAGGATAAATCACTAGCATTGATTAAAGATATCAAGCATATATATCCTTGTAAATGTAGCAATCTGAAAGCTCAATTAAAAATATCTAATATTTAAAAAATAGAATATGTCGCTTGAGAGAGATATAAAAAATTATCTAATGTTCTCAAATATAATACTAAATGTCTAAAAATTATATGTAAAATAAATAAATTAATTAATGTAACATATGATGTTTATATATAAAATATTGATTTATTTATTAGTTTCAAAATCAGATGGATGCAAAATATCTGGGATTTTATACACACGTAAATCTTTTCCTGCAAATAATGTGATTGTTTCATTCAAATAAAGTCAAACTATTAGTAATAAATAAGGAGAATTTGAATTAGAAATAGAATCAAATTAAGTACAAGGAGAGCTAAGTTTTAATATTGCAAATTAATTCACAATGTAAATGGAAATAAACAGATTAAATTGCCCAATCAATTTGGGAAGAATATTATTGGATAATAAAGAAAGTGTGTAAACAAGTATTACAGG